GTGTTCAGTAAAGATCCTTTTGTTACTTAGGGCTAGATAATTATATTAATAAACACTGATTATATCTACCTGTTTAGGAAGTTAGGAAGATCTGTAGGCCTTAAACTGACTAAAAACTTCTGGTAGTTTTTTTTATTGATAGTTATCAGGCATTTTTGTTTAAGAATTTCTCTTCTGTTGTCTCCAGTCTTACTCATTTTGGGGGATGTTGACGCTAGTGTACATTTTAAGTTACATTAAAATAACTGCTGTTTCTTTTTAAGTGTCCAGGAATAGCTGTGTTTTTGTTTTTAACTGTTTTTTCTAGGTGTTTAAGACCAAGCTGGTCAAACTGACCTTGTTCCTATCTATTGGTAAGAGTCAGCTGAGTTTCCTTGGAGGACATTTTTGGGGAACTTGTGAGCAGTATTTTAGCTCTGTTAGTGTCATCTGCATTAGGATGGGTCAAGGTCTTGCTGACCAGATGGCTTTCCTTGGAAGTATCAGGCATGTCTCCTATTTAAATGACCCTCCTCTTTTGCAGCATGTACACTCATTGGCTTTCTGTTCTCCAGGGGTCTCATTAATCTCCCTTATCAGGAGGTTATGTGGCCCAGAGTTGCAAAGCTTTTCCCCCTGTCCTGAGTTTAGGCTGACTTAGAGGGCAAGAGCCAAATATTGGGTTTTTTTGGCCCCTTTATTTTAACTTTAATATTTAAATTTGGCCTTAAACATCCAGCAAGTCAGTTTTACCAGTTTGAAAGTAAGAATGTTGGGCTTTAACTTTAATCTTTATAACTTTACAGTTAATTTTTACATAACACAATATCCTTATTTTATTTATTAATTTACGTAATGCTGAAGATCTGCCTGAAGGCAGAAGATGACACCTTAGCATCTACTGTGATCCAATCACTGTATACCAACAAGGCAGCTTGCAGACCTAGAGACCCCATTAGATTTTGGCTATAAAAACTCTCTCTTGCCAGGTCCTCCTCTCTAGCTCTCTCCTTTTTCTCTCATTTTCCCCTCTCTCTCTCTCTCTCTCTCTCTCGTTAATCAGACACTGTCACAGTAAAGGTCTCTTGGTTGCTCTGAATGTAGTGGTCACTTGTTTTTAGTTATAATGAAAATACAAAGTGAAATTAACAATAGTAAAAACATATTTAGCTTGTATATAATTTTGAACTTTGGCCGAGTTACACATTATATTTCCTATTTGATATCACAGAAATCTTTTCAATAAAATTAATCTTTGAATATATCTTTAAATTAACTGAAATCTGGCCTACTTCAAAGTTATTTTGACATACTGTAAGGTGGGAGGCAGACCCTTATCTCAGGTAAGGTGGGGCTCTTTACAAATCTTAGGCAAAGTATTTTAGTTCTAAAGCTGATCTTTGTCTCTCTTTTTAGATCTCATTTTATAAAGTTTACATATATTGTTTCCGTACTCTGTATGAATGTTAGCTAGCACAATATGACATACATCTGAAACATTAATTAAGGAAAAGATGAGAGCCCTTAACATTTTTTTTCCATGTGTTAAGTGGCAAAATGTTTTATAATATTAATCTTTAAATAGGTTAGGCTCTCATTACTTTTAAAAATATCTTCAAATTTTTATATTTTAGTGTAAAAGGTAACATAAGATTTGGTTACAAAACATCAAATAATATAAATAAATCCCCAATAAAATCTATTATCTTCATAAGTTTAAATTACCATTATAGACAATTTTAGTTTGGAAAATACCAGCTTGATAAAATGTTCCTTTAAACCTTTTACCTTAAAGACTTGTTTACCTGAAAGATATGAACACATTTAATCTGTAAAGAAGAGTAATGTACCACACTTTTATTGATGTTTTTATATTAACCAAGGTTAGCTTTTAAAGGAAAATCTAGACTTTGTAATGTAGGACAATACTTTAAAATAACAGTTGCTGTTTAGCCACAGATGTAAAAACCTTAATTTTTTCAAGATTACTTGTTCTAGGAGATAAAACTTAACAGACATAATGTAATTAAAATTTTTAGAAGTTTTTGTCAATTTAACATATAAATATTTCAGTCCTTAGGGAACAACATCGAATAGTTTTAACTATTGTGTTACATATATAACCAACTTAGTTACATATAAACCTTTTAATATTTGTCTTTTATTTATAGACCTTTATATTACTTAATTAGACCCTTTTGTTGTTTACTTAAATGTATTATAATTACACTTTACCACATAAAGACTTTTAACCTGGAAACGTTTTTTATTAAATATATTTTTATATTTAGAACTTTTTAATATTTTTTTAACTCATTGATCTTTTTTTCGTTTATATCTTGAAATAACCCTTATAAATTTTTGAATTTAGATAAATTGATCTATTTTAATAAGATGAAACATTTGTTACTTACAGTACTTTAATTGAAATACAGTTGAAACCTCTTGACTCCTTGTATGTAGAATTATACCTGTTAGGACTTTGTAATTTAGAGTAACCTTGTTTTTATAATAACACAAAATAATTTTAAATTTCTTTTTTAGTTTACCAATTTATGAAAACACCAACATTGTTTAACAGTCAGCATTTTAACTTTGTAAACCAATTAGATGTCTCTAACAAACACATCCATGATTAATTTTATATATATTTAGATAAAATTTACGTATCTTTTTTTTAAAAACTAGGTATCAGACAAGTGCATTGAATAGTATTAGTAATTTATTTTGTTGTTGTTGTTGAATAAAAATCTTAGAAACAAGGATATAAACACTTTATAGACATTAACATTTTAACAGCTGTTTAACCATCTAGAAACAAAGCTGTGTATTAGTAACTTTAAAGATATTTGTACTTTTATTTATTTTTTCAATTTGAATTGAACCTTTTAACTTATATTAACCAAAAGTATTTGGATCTATTTTTTTAAATTTTAATTTATGAGTTCATATGTCAATTTTTTGTACCAAATATATGTAGACATGGCCATACATGTAGACAGATAGTACACAGGTGCACCCACACAAAAAAAAACAGACAAACAAAAGTCTTGTAGCTTATTGTTTAAAAACCTATTAGATTGAGAGTTAGCCTTTGTAAACTGGCCTCAGAATAAAGCAGAGTGTAATCAGAAAAACATATTAACCTAGGCATATTGGATCAAAATTATGAGTTTAACAAATATAGAATTTTAAAAGTTTCTGACCTTTTTTTTTTTCCTTGAGGTGGTCCTGTTCATGAAAGCTGAAAAGATTTGAGGGAACACAGACAAACGAGGGGGGTTTATTTCTCCCTGGAGGAACTTCTCAAAGATGCAGCTTCACTGGTCTCCTTGGGAGAGTCCCCCAGGTTGGGATCCCATTCTAAACTGGTTTTTCTGGTTTTTTGGATAGCGGCCACCAACTTTTAGCCTGACATTGAAAAATCTTTAGACAATTTTTTAATAGTTGGGAGTTATTCATGCTTGCAAATACTGAGAGACAAAAGCCAAATTTCTAGACAAAATAATGCTTTTTGTTATACAATTTAGGAATAATAATTTTATAAAACGCTTTAGTTTTAATTTGTCCTCTATAGGAACTGACATGATTTACCCAGTTGGCCACCTGGCCCAGTTCCTAAATGAAGATAATCTCTAGAATGCCTTTTTCTTTTTACCTTTAGCTTTTACTTTTGACAATTTTTTTAGTCCTGTTGGCAGCACTTTACATTTTAATGCAAGCATTAGTGAGCACAGTTAAAACCGTTTTAACCATTTTTTTCCATTAGATACAAACTGAGGTAGAAATTAACACAGAACACAAAGGGAACAAACAAAAACAAACCAACAGACAAAGTCCTGAAAATTGTTAAGAAAACAAGTTATAGGAGTCCAGGTAGCACTTCCTTGTCTCTGATGTTGGTGGAGCGAAGGAGTCCTGATGAAAGAAGAGCAGTTATGAGAACAAGAAAAGGGCCCCACACACAACACTTGGATAGAAGAACAGGACAAACGGCTGGTGAACAGACACAGGACAAATGACAAACAACAAGAAGATGCTGGATGTTAGAGTCTGTAAACAAGTCAGGATGGCACCTGGCATTTTGCCAGAAAAATGTTAGAGTCTGTAAACAAGTCTGGATGGCGCCTGGCAAAATGCCAGAGGGAGTGGTTTGTGAGGTGGAGCCAGCGAGCCATTAAGTGTGGAGATTCCTTATTGGTTGACTGATGTATCTAGTTTATGCTAATTAGATAAGCTGTGTGGAATGTATAAATACCGCTCCTGTCCTGCAATAAACGGCTCCCTCTCCTGCTGTATCAAGGTACACAAGTTATTCGTCACCCCCCTGGTTATTTTGCTGCAGCCGGACTGCGGCAGCTGGAGAAACGACAAACAGCAGAACAGACACAGGACACGCAACAATCGCTGAGATCACACAGGGAGACCTCTAATGGGGCAGAGACCCCTCAAACAGAACAAACGACTGGCAAACAGACACTGGACAAGTGACCAACAGCAGAATACACTGGAGAAATGACAAACAGCAGAACAGACACAGGACAAGCAACAATCGCTGAGGTTACCCAGAGAGACCTCTAATGGGGCAGAGACGACGTCTCGTCCTGCCCCCAGACAGATGAGGCCTCCCAGGGAGACCTCCAGTGGGCCCCAGATACAGACAGATGAGGTCTCACAGGGAGACAGTAACAACGTCTCGTCCTGTCCAGGGGAAGGTGTAAGCGACTGCGTCCAATCTGACGTTTCCCCCCCCCCAGAAGAGTCCACTCACCTGAACTGACAGCCGGCAGGAGGCTTTTCAGAGCATCCTAGGACGATTGGAGTCATCCTTGGAGTGAGGCTGAGGAACGTCTCTCAGGAGCTCCCCTCTACTCCCTACTCTGGGGACAAGGTCCAAAAGCCCATCATTGGAGGCAAATGTGGCGTGAGGGTAGGGAAGAAATGGATCCAGGGAAAGCCCCCAAATGTTATAGTTCAGGCTTTGTCCCAGGGTTTCATAAACTGACTTCCAGACCACTCAGTATAATCGAATCAAGCCTTTATTGAAGCACACCGGTGGCGGCTGACCAGAACATAAAGCTGTTCACCTGATCAGCCCCGAACAATTGCAAGGGCACTCCTTATAAGCCTGAAAACCACAAAAGGGATGTTCAGGGGGTCTAGCCAATGCAAGGAAGCCAGGTTACAGAAGCAGGACAGTGCAGTCAAGCGGAGGGAAGCCTAACCAATCACAGTTAGCCCAGTCACCCCAGTTACAGAAACAGAGCCCCGTTACCCTAGTTACAGAAACAATACCCCATTAGGTAGTTCTATGTTCTTAAAGGTTTCTATAGCAAAAGGAAAAGAACATCTTGCCCCAGTCATGACTCTTCTACTTGGCATGGTTGTTTTACAGGATGAAGTCATGAAACAAAATGGAGTCACATTTGCTCCTACTATCACAGAGTGTAGGAAGAAAAGTGGGTCAGAGGGTGAAAGAAGAGGACTGCACCTAGGGATGACTGTTTCCTCATGGAGAAGAAACTCGGCCGCAGAACAGAATCCCTCTGGTCCTGCTGTGCTGGATGAAGAAGAGGAAGGGGTGGTCTGCACGGAAGCATGGAGGACTGCACAGCCCCATGAATCCACAGGCTGTGGCGGCTGCAGCTTCAGTACCCTCCTCATTGACCTCCACAAAGGACTTGTGCACGACCTTGGACAGATACAGGTCTTTCCTGGATGACATTCCAGAAAAGTCTGCCCTGGCCTCATCGAAGGCATCGGTCATGCCCAGGCTGCGAAGGACTTCCTCCAAATCATAATTTTCCTGTAGCTTAAACCGAGGGAGGAAAACCTCCACCTCCTCTTCATCCATCAGGTCTGGGTTGGTCCACTCTATGTATTTCTCATAAGTAAGTTCCTTCTCCACCTAGAAGGGAGTTGAACATGTCAAGACCAAGCTTGTGCTGTCCCACAGGGCCACGTGCAATAATGGAGATGCTCCATGTTGTGAGTGGGAGCCTCACCTTGGCCAGAGGTGGTGCTAGTGGTAACCAAGGTAACTAGACAGAGCTCAGGGACAGCTCAGCAGGAGAGCTTGCCTAGTATCTGCAAGGCCCTGGGTTCCATCCCCAGCACAGACACAAAAAATAAAATATAATAAAAGGCTAACTGGGAACGGGGGAAAGCAGCTACATCAGAAACCCAATGCCCTTCCCCTGCCATCATGGCCTCGTTATGGCTTAGTGCTCCTTACCGTTTTCAAGTCAATGTGCTCATCGGTCAGCATGATGATCATATTCAGCTCCTCGCTGACGTAGGGAAGGACCAGAATCTTGGTGAATATTTCCCGTATATAGGTCATTTTAAAAGTAGACTCCTTAAACATCATTTGCACAGGCTTCTCCTCATTCTGTAAGGAAATGGACAACTGTTGAGTAGAAACATGACCCAGCTGGCACAGTGGACTAACTCCACAGAGGTAGCCCCTGTGGGCCCCAGGAACACTCTTGACCCAGCTTCTAGAACACGGCCATGAGGTTCCTCCTAAACCCCTGCTATGGTTAGACACCAAGTGTCCCCCAGAGGCCAGTGTGTTAAAGGTTTTATCTACAGTGTGGAGCTATTGGGAGGCGGGGCCTAGTAGAAGTTAGGTCATTCGGGCAAGTCCTTGGAGGGGACTCTGAGACCCAAGCCCTTCCTCTCTCCTTCATTTCCTGACTGAGCTGACCAGTTTTTCTTGATCAACTGCTCCCAACTTTGCCATCCACCACCCCCATGCCTAAGAGCAAAGGGTCTGCCTCATCATGGATGGGAAACTTAAATTTTGAGCTCAGATGAATCTGTCCCTTTTTAAGTGGATTATCTCATTATTTGGCACACTGAGAGAATGCTAACAAACCTCCCAACACCAAGGTGCCCACACTCACACCCAACATGTTTCTTGGTGACTTCACCTAGTCTCATGACTTTGAACTTAATCCACAAATTTACAGTTCTAGCTGGGACCTCTCCCCTGGACTCCAGGCTCATGTGTTATACTGGCTGCTTGACACCCACACTTAGACTAAAAGAAAGTCCTAGTGTCACACATGACTGTGGGCTCCTTATATCCCCTTCCTGCTCCACCTACACCTCTGCCCATCACAGTGGGCAGTGACACCATGCATCCAGTTGTCAAAAGCCATGGTGTGTCCTTGCTCATGTCTTTCTCTTACACTCTGCATCTCACTCCTTAGCAGATTATGGTGGCTCTACCTTTGAAATACAACCAAAACCTCATCTGTTGTTCTTTCTTCCACTGCCATCACCCTATCCCTGGAATACAGAGATGACCTCAGAGGGATCCCAGTGAAATGTAAGTCAGATCACACCCCTATGACTGGACACCATTCCATGACACCCCCTCTCCTAGGAGCAAGATCTGAAGTGCTCACTACATCCTATAATCACAACAACAGCTCATCTCCCATTCCTTGTCTCTCCTCACCTCCTACTACTCTCCCTCTGCTGGTTCCTACACTCACAGGGGTCTCTATAGAAAATCAGGGTCATTCTATCCCTCACCTGTCCACTCATCCCTACAACCTAGAGGGTGTAGCCTTTGCCTCTTCCTGGTCTTTACTCAAGTATCACCCTCTCAGTGAATGCTTCCTTGATAGACCTGACCTGCAACTGTACCCCCAACCACAGCTTCCTGTTTGCTTCCTTTGTGTATCTGCAGCACTTACCACTGCCCAATAACTACTAATGTCTTATTTAAGATTCTGGTCTTTCACTCAAGAAAATGTAAGTTTCATGGGGCAGACATGTTCAGCTAGTCAATACCTGGCACACAGTAGGCACTCAATTAACATCAGCTGAATAAAGGAATAAAAAACTGATGAGCAGAAATAGCAAAGGGCCATCCTCAAACCATGAGAAAAAGACAGAGGACAGTGACCACATCCTACCCTACAATGCTGCTTAATTCATAAGTACTCCACAGTTGGATACCAGCAGATACTCTGAAATTTTTTTAATTCCATGCAACAGGCACAGCTGAGGGAGCTCCCTAGTTCTCTGGCACAGCACACCATTCCAGATCAAATGGAGTAAACCAAAGACATATCTGCTGTCACTTTCTGTCTCCGCCTTGTCGAGCTTGCCTGAACTAGACCTCGGCCACAACAGTCACCTGCCCTTGGCTCCTCAGACATGTCCTTGGCCAGAACTTGGCACACTTTTTCCATAAATGGGCGGACAGTAAATATTGTGGCGTTTGTGCTACAGACAATTCCTATCATAACTACTCTATTCTACTGTTGTGATACATATAAACAAATAAGTATGTGTGTGCACCAACAAAAACTTTATCTGATAAACTTGATATGGGCCGGCTTTGGCCCACAGGCCTCAGGGTGCTGACCCCACCTTACTCAATTTCTCTGCATTCCCCTCCAGGACCCAAGGTCTCCAATCTTATAATAGAAAAGAATCCAATCTTGGTAATTTAATGACTCACTAAATATATAATTATGTTAGTAAGCTTAATCTCCTTTAGAAATGAGGAATCCAAATGAAAATCCTTATCAACTCAAAATCCATGCCCCTGGAGACACCCCTGCCACACACTCCATGGGCTGGTACAGTCAACCCCTGCTGCAGCTCCACCCTCTCCCTCCACTGCAGAAAGCAAGGTAAACTGCTTCACTGCTCTGTATCGAGCAGAAGCCACGTGAGAGCACTTCTGGTTTCCCTCTGAATACAATGGCAGAACCTCCAAAGAAGGGATTTTGCTCTCCATCATCTGTCCTTCCTGCTGCATCCTGCCTGGACAGTGGAGGCAGTATCTGAGCCCTCCTGTGAGCACGAGGAAGAGGCCACAGGCTGAGGTGGCAGAGCAGGGAGAGCTGGTTCCCAAGAGCCTCACCCCAGTGTCACATCAGCCCTGGGTTCTCCTCTCCTCTGGGCCTCCTGGGTGGTGAGATGAGCTGTGAGCTAAACTGCAGAGATCTGGGGTTTCCGTTGCTTACAGTTGAATGAAGCCCTAACATACATCTTGTTAAAGATGAATTTCAAGGAGAAAAAAAAATCATATTTGTGGAAAGGACAGTTCATTTCAGAATAAATCTCAACACAAAATGTATGTATTGAAAAACTGAAGGTTCAGATCCAAGTGGATAAGGAACGGTCAGTGATCAAGAACACATTAGTCCACCCTGTGTGCTTTGCAGCATGTCAAAAAAAAATCTCTATAATTAAAAAGTCTTTTTAAAAAATGGATTCTGTGAGAGAAAGACACCAGGCCATCAGCAAACACCTTCCAAGCTGAAGGTGGTTAAACTCAAGGGTCTAATTCTGTGTATGTATCCTTTTGCTTGTTTTTAAACAAAAATATGTACTGGTGTTATCCTTACAAACAAAAGAAGACTGAAGATCAGTGATTGGTTCAGTATTTCCTGAGCACCAGTTATCATAACTACTGGATAACTTCCAGTTACATACAGGTCAAACACTTTTCAACAAAAGTGAAAAGTCCTTCAACCACTGCTATGTCTTGTACAGACCAGCAGGGGGCATAGTGACAGCTTAGATAAAGGGGCAGATACCAGGTGGGGCTTCCAGAAGGGACACAGCAGTTAAGAAAGGAGTGTGAAGGTACTGAAGAGAATGGGGGGGATCCAGGTCTACGAGGACCCTCAGACACCAAATTTGGAGTTTGACCTTTATCTGAAAAGTTATGAGAAGCCAAGAAAGAACTAAAGTTAGCCTGAGAGCTACACCATCAGATTTGCCCTGTAGATTAACACACCAGAGAAAGTAGGGCAGGTGATAGTAAGGCGGGTCCTCCGGACAGAACCCTTGGTGACATACAAAAGGAGGAAGCTCATGAGAGAAAGGCCCCAAGGCATGGGGATTCCTTGCTGCAGGGCTGTCCTATGCCATGAAAGGCATGGGCTGCATGTGGTGGCCTTCATGATCTAGAAACCACCGCAAACACAGGCCCTGTGTCTGGGAATCTCCTTTGTTACTATGCAACATTCACCTTGCTGACTTTAAATGGTCTCTCCTTGGTGAGCTTTTTGTCAAACTTTTTATCCCAGTTTCCTTTGAAGTAGATGGCATTCACGAGAACCAGATTAGTGTTTTTATTCAATGAACCTGGAGACAGCAACTCTGTAATTTTATCTGAAAGGAAAAATTAAAGAACCAGTTAGCTAAGAGTTTGCTGATGGGTGCATCAGTGATGATACGGAGAAGGGCCCACCTCCTCAAATGGTCAAGCACAGAGATAAAGGATCACATATGCTCGAAATAATATAAATAGATATTTGTCATCAAAGCAAAGCAATATCCCTGGCATTGAAATACATGTTCTAGGAAGAAAAATACCATCATTTGAATAAAACGTAAAAGGAAAAAGTAGATATTAGTAAGTGAATTCATACCACAAGAGATAGAAAGAAATGATTGGTGCCTACAAACTAAAGAACTTAAAATACTGTTACAAGGAGTGATTATAAATTTAAACTTAAATGTTTGAGGTGCTGATATGTTCACCCTGATTTAAACAGTACACACAATATATATGCATTGGAGCATCATGTATAGTTTTGTTATTATTTCTAGTCCAGCATATCGAACAATATTATTTTTGTACAATATACATGATTTTGTTATTATCAGCTAAAAATATTTAAGATTTTAAAAAGATGCTCTTTATAAATGTAAAGCACGGTTTAGCCACACATGGTGGTACATGCCTGTAATCACAGAGGCTTGGGAGACTGAGGCAGGAGGATTGTAAATTCTAAGTCAGCCTTAGCAACTGAGGCCCTAAGCATCTTCACAAGACCTTGTCTCTAAATAAAATATTTATTTAGGACAAATATCCCATTACATTATTTAAGGATGTGGCTTGGTATATAAGTCCCTCTGATTTGAATCCCTGGTACCAAAATTGAAAAAAAAAAAGAAAGAAAAAACAAAGCACACTGTTTACATTAAAAACCACAGGTCCATGAGGATACCACCAAGCAACTTTTAACAATGCATGAAAACTGGGGAGCATGAGCTCACACTGGAGAGGACACAGCTGGGACCTGTCAGGTGAATTTTTCTTTATGCGATTGGTGAAAAGAAAGAACAAACAAGAGCAAAGACATTACAGTGTGGATTGTTCTGGAAGAGGGGTGCTGACTAGGGGGAAACATCATGGATACACTGAGAAGAGCAGGGAAGACCTAGAGAAAATGTCATCCACTGACAGTATTTCAGAAGCAGATTTTTAAAGCCTGCAATTATTTGAGAACAAAAACATCATTCCTGTTCATATATGACAATTTTGTGAAGGAACTGACAATAAGACTGATGTAAATACTATTAAAAACAGAACAACAGGCTGGGACTGTAGCTCAGCGGTAGAGCATCTGCTCAGCATGCCCAAGGCCCTGGGTTGGATCCCCAGCACTGCCAACAAAGGAACTAGCAAAGCAACAACAACCTCACCATCACCAGAAACAACAAATAAAAACTATGTTTTTACCTTCTGTCTTTTTAGCTACCCAGGTGTTTATGTGTTTTCTGGACTCCTCTGTAGCATTCAGAAAGTCAAGCTCTTCCATCTCTGCTTGGTAGAATTTCTGGCAGGAATCTTTAAAAGACTAAGGCAGAGCAACATAATTGCACGGTTCCTAAGTAATTAACAAGTGTACTTCATTAATCCACCAAAGCAGAAACTCAATAATATGCTGATTTAGAGATAATTTACAAATTAATACATAGAATGAACCTAAAATTCACCTTCTCAGTTTTGGGCCATCTTTAATGTCCTGAGTACCAAATAAATTTCATGAATGGCTGGATCTTTATGGGAGCTGCTGAGCCTCAAGAGGTAACTGGGAGGAAGCTGAGCTGCAATAACTGTGGAGAGAAAGTTAACCCAGCAAGAGCTAGCACTCCTCTGCACTCTGGAATAAGGGACATGGACACAGAAAGTAGAACATAGGAAAATGAGCCATTCTGCACTATCCTGCCACCACAACTTCCTGTGATAACAGAAAAATGAGCACCATCAAAAATGGTGTCCCAGGTGACTACAGAGCATCTGAGATCATGTCAGTGCAGCTGCAGAACTGAATATTCTCTTTTATTTTATTTTGATTAATTACATGTGTCTAGAGATTGCCAGTGCTGCTGAACATCTCAGTTTGGGGTAGTAAGCAATTCTCAAAAAAAATGAGCAGGGCTATGATTCGGCTCAGTGGTAAAGCATTTGCTCAGCATGGGAAAAGCCCTTGGTTCAATCCTCAGCATCACAAAAAAAGAAAGGAAAAAGAAGTTCAAAGGGTTTTACTAACATATCCTATGAAATAATAATGACATTGATGAACACATACATTCTACCATGTTAAAATAGAAAATTTGTGGAATATAAGTGTGCTTACAACCCATTACATGGGCAATGCACTATGAAATTATTTCCTAATCTTCCTTTTGAACAGTTTATGGCTCCATATTTGATTTCTATTTATTTATAATGAAAGATTTCACATTTCTCCTTCAGTATTGCACAGACACAGGTGTTAGGAACACAAGTTCTTTGATTTATTAGCTGAGTGGCCTTAAAAAGGTTAATTAGTGTCTCTGCCTCTTCGTTTGCCCCATAAATGGGACGGCAGTGGCTGTATGAAGCTCCCAGAGTTACTTTGAGGCCCAGCTGAATTACTTTCATTATATATGTTTATCTAATGTTACTGAATTCTCAACATATTGTGGGCACTTAAAAGGAGAACTTCCTGTATCATTCCATTTCATTCTCACAGAGTTCTTGCTTTACCAATTTCACTGTCCTGTTTCTGAAAAATTTTAAATCTTTCAATCTAAGAAAATAGTCTGAAAGCAAACTGGCCACTCAAATATTGATAACTTGCCACACTTGTGGGTGATTTTTATAACTTTTAATCACCCTAGGAAATAACTACCTGCTATTCAAGTTACTATTATACAAACAATGAATAATCAAACTCAAGGAATATGTAATTTTACATCATGGTTGGTATTCAATTTTTGGAAGTTTAAAATAATGAATGACAAATATTTCTAATATCCTTATTTTGTATACTAATATAAATTTTTAAATATCATTAGTTTTCTTAAAATATCCACCCAAAAAATGAAAGAAAATTAAATCAGCCAATCATGTGAGTGTGTTGGAATTTCTGTTCATATAAAAGGCTTAAAGAGGGTGATGATACCTATAAAGTAGCTAATACTAATTAAATAAGTAAAACAGATTATAAAAAATCATACTATGATATATAGTTGTTATCAATATTTGAACCTATGCTTGTTTATGTTCATTTTATATCACTTCCTTTTAAAACAATTAATGTAGTTTAAAACAGGTTTCAAAAATGAGAAAAAAATCATAGAAAAGATGTGAAATCTCACACATACAAAAACTCTTATAAATCAATAAGAAAAGGGAATACAGATCAAGAGAAAAATGTGCACAGAATATGTAAATAAACAACATACAGAAAACATATACAGGTTGAATATTCCAAAATGTACATGTGCTGAAATATTTTACATTTTGGCACTTTCCAATTGTGGATTTTGGGATTATGGATACTCAGATTGTCCATGCTCAAAGAGCTTAAATTCAATCTCATAAGTAATCAAGATTCAAAAGCTACATGCAGTGTTGATCATGGTAGATGGAAACCAACATTGTGCTTATATCCCTGAAAGGAACAGATACATCACTTTGGAGAGACATTGAATAATATATTATATATTAAAATTTCAAAGCTCTATTTACTTCCTCTCTCCACAAATCTACCTGGGAGCAGCACACACACACACACACACACGCACAAAAGTCACAGTCAATAACACTGTCTGTAACAGCCCAGACTGGGTATGACCTAAAGCCCATCCATGAGCAAATATCCTTCTATGTTACAATGTGTCCAACTTAGAATTATCAGATGATGGTTCATAATAGTGATCTAGGGCTGGGGAAGCACTCAGTGGTAGAGCTCATGCTTATTTATATTTGAGGTCCTGGATTCAATCCCCAGTGCCACATAATGGTGATGATGATGATCATGATAACAACACTGAAGTAGATCCACATACACTGAGATGGGAAGAGCAAGAGAAATGTATTTCAAAACAACGTGTTTTGGATGAAGGCATAATGCAGAGAAAATTACTACAAAACAAGATGTGCAGGAGGACACATGTCAAATCTATGAAAGCTCTTATTCTGGGAGGGATGATGGGTTGTGGGAAAGAGATTGATGTGGCTCTTTGCTGGCCCTATTGCATTCTGCACAAAAATGTACTCACCTGTGACTTGAGTAGTTTTCTGATTTTTTAAATGAAAAGGTGTGAACAAATACATGAGTAACCAGAAACCTGAGTAAATTCACAGCCCAGGCTCTTTCAGCTGCACCACGAGTTCCCCTCCTCCCCACCACCTTGCTTCATCAAAAGCAGTGAGTATGACTTACTGAGAGGAAATCATAAGACTTTTCTCCAAAAAGCCTGTTGGCTGTTCTAAGCAAGTACCATGTGTTCGTCTTGTTCACTTCAGTGAGAAGGGACTGGAAGCCCCTGTGGACATCTCCACCTCCACTGCTGCTGCTTTTATTTAAAGAAAGTACCTGGAATCAGAAACACAACAAAAATACACCATTGCAGTAGGCCCTGACTACAGGGAACAAGCAAACTATACTAAACTTGGCCTAAGAACTGTGCAGATTCAAACCACCATCCAACTAGAGACAAAAAGTATCTTGAAAGCTCACTCTCCAGTCTCCCTCCCAGGATCCCTTTCTGTACCCTGTCAGTATTGTTCTGAGGAGAAATGTCTCTCCACAACCCAGGCTCTTTGTATCTAGAGCCTAGCTGGAGACAGAGGTACTACTAGACCTCCCATCTCTGCAAACACAGGATGCTCCAGAAAATTGTAAGGTGCAGTCTCTCCCTGCCTTTAGGTCTGTGAAGGCTCTGACCAACAGAATTCAGCACAAGCATTACTGTCCAGGCCTGAGCCTTAAAAAGCTTTGTAGCTGTCACATTCACTCTCTTGCACCCACTGTCATGATGGAAGAACGTCCAAGGAATCCCCCTGGAAGATTTGCTACCACATAGGCTGAGTTGCTGGGAAGAGACCCAAAGCCCCAGCCAATACCCATCACCAAGACCCCACATGTGAGAGAAAGCCTCCTTGGACCCTGCAATGCAGCTGTCTATTGAAACAGTAGCATGAATGGCCCCAGCTGTCATCACGGAGAGCATAAGAACTGCCTCTGAGGCCACTGGATCTGAGAAATAATCCACCATTATTATTTCAAGCCACTAAGTTGGGGGATGGTTTGTTGTGCAGCAATAGATAACATGTGCAGCAATGCAGAAGTGTTCCGTCATAACAAAAATAAACCACTTGATGCTGGCTTTGGACATGGGCAGTTGACAGAGGCTGGAAGGACAGGGATGAAATTACTACCATAGTCTGCAAAAAGAGGTAAGGTAGGTGATAAGGTAGGCACTGGCCAGAGAAGTGCAGATGTTCACCTGTAGCAAGAGGTAAGATAGGATACTTTCCCAACTCCCACATCTGCCTAAGATGTGCAGGAAGTGTGTATCTTCCTTTTAGCTGCCTAACTTAGAGTGTGGGAAGAGAGAGATGAGCTAAAGAAAGAATTAATGCATTTTCAAGCAGAATTTAAAGGAACTATTTCTAACCCAGTTCTTAATAGGTAGAACATAAAGGTGTTTCTTATCTCTTCTCCTCTCCAGTTGACAACATAATTCTCAACCTAAGAAATGGCCTCAAGGTAGAGTTCCAATCCATGGCCTCAGGAGCAAGGTCAAGATCCACTTTGTAAAAACCTTGGGACAAAAAAGGCAGCATCTCATAGACCTGTAGACAACAGGGCTTCTTAGCAACTCAAGGACATTGCCCCACAGCACCCTTACTTCCAACCTGACACAGTCTTGTCTCAAACAGGCTTGTGCATGTGGCTTGGTCCAGTGCAGCAGGCTATAACTTGAAACACAGAAATCCTACAATGGTTTTAAAGGAATTATGAAATATTGAAACTAAAACATGAGACAGTTCAAAGTGAAGGGGTACCCTTGGGTCCCCAACTCTCTTTTGGCAGGAGAAAGGCTAAGAGAGAAATAAACATGAAACATGACCCATTTCTTCTGGAAAAGGATGGGAGTTGCCAAGCGCTAAGTCCAGAATGTACAGGGGAGTGCCATGGCCTGAGATGTGGAGGACAAGGAATGCTTCCCAGGAAACACAGGTGGAGCCAATCAAGGATATTCCCACCCTGAGGGCAGAGGAGACTGGCACACACACCTGGCTGGATTTGGAAATTGCTACAGTTCAGGGACTGCAATGTGCTCACAGGGGTGCTCATCAGGGGTAGCATGTGCTTCTTGTCAACTCTCCATCCACACCCCTCTGATACCCTCTGATGTCCATCCACAGCAATCCCTTTGGGATTTGAAATGACAACTACCAGCATTTACTATTACTCCCAAAGGACACCAGGTACCTGAGCCATCTGGACTGCGGTAGTTCCCTTTGCCCCCATGAGGACCATGGCCAGGGCCGAGGAGATGCTGATGGGTGAGTAAAACACATTTCTTGAACTGTCTTCACCCAGCATTTTCAGAAGGTTTAAGGCAAAGGTGCCGTTTGCTTCCAACAGAGGATCCATGATGGCGAGCCTGGAACAATGGATTTCAGATCAGTATCACATGAACCCAGGCTCACAGGCCAACTGCACTTTCCCTCCCATTAACTCCACTGCTGCTGTGGTGCAATAAGCAAACAGATGCACACAGAACTCTGAAGGTCTTTGGGGGGTCTCAAGATTATTTTATGTCCTAATATTAAATGAAGAAGAAGAGTAAAATTTAATACTATGATCCTGTTGTGTGAAGACCTGTATCTGCACACTTCTTTGTGTGCATGGGCAAAGTGTGGGCGGGACACATGCACCTCCTGGATAGGGTAAGAGAAAGGGTGATTGACTTTGGCTTCCACGTCTGTATTCTTTGGTGTGTTGTAAGAGCTTATTGTATCATTTAATTTGAAAATCATTTAAAATTACAAATTCACTCACAAAGGTTACAAAGACAATATATTCAGTCTTTTTATGATGTGGGGAAGTTCCCCATTTTAGAGTAACTGAAGCCTTAAAATAAATTTGGGAGGTAAAGCCACATGAGACCTTTCTCTCCTCTGAATCAAATACCCACCCGTCTCCCCCAACAGATGAGGGTGCTCACTCAGGTATGCTCAGCAGGGCACCATTTAATCCTCAATTCTTCTAGGGAACCTATGCATGTGACAAAGCCCAAATCTAAGGTCATGTTAAGGGCCTCTGCTGTCACAGGCAAGGGCCCTTGGCCCATGTGCTCACAACTCTTCCTCATCTCTGGTCAGTGGTGCCTGCCCATGTCCACCTCCACACACTCAGAGCTCAGGGGAGTCTGGAGCTTTTCCAGAAGTGCATTTGGCAATGCCCTGGCAGCCCTGGCAAGGTCAAGGGCAGGAACACAGTTAACCAGTCAGAAGTGAGTGGGGTGCAGGTGTCTTTAGGCCAGTTGGAATCACAGAATCACAAAATGTTATATAGCGCAGCAGGACTTCAGTGATCCCTATTCACAATTTTCCATTTTCAACAGGGATCAGGAAGTTCACCAAGGTGAATTGATTGCAGCTGAGGAGCAGTCAGCCTGAGTCTTTCCAATACACTTGGAGAAGTCATGAACTTCAGGAAGAGCCTGGAAGGAATCAGGCAAGAGGACAAGAGGAAAGAAAGGGCTCAATCAGCCAGGAAGTCTGCACATGCACTGGAGCAGGCCAGGTGCACTGTGGGCACAGCACTGTGTTCCAACACGGTTCACAGATGTTTACCAAACTCATTTCCCCAGCTGGAGAATGCTAATGTTCTAAAATAGTCCCCATGATTCCCCTGAGCAGCGGGTGTAAACCCCGAGAACAAGGAGGAAATGAGTGTTTCAGAGTACACAGGAGTGGGAAGGTGTACCTATATAAGGGACTGTGACAAGAACATGAAGCATCCCTTTGTATAACATCCCATTTATATAGCTGTGGTCCATAGAACAAGGTCCCCAGACATATCTAGGTCCTAATCCCTGGAAAATTCCCTCATATGACAAAAGAGACTTTGCAGCTGTGATTAAGAATCTTCTGATGGAAAGAATATCATGGACCATTCAGGTGGTGCCCAAATGTAATCATGTAGTCACATGTAGTTTATAAAAGGGGGGGGGGGGTGTCAACATGAATAAAAAAGGAAAGAAACTCAGAGAGAGCATCTCTAGAACAAAAGATTTACATTGAGATTAGCAAAGGGTTGCAAACCATAGTGGGCAGACTATGAAAATCAAAAACTCATGGGAGTGGAGAGGATGAGACCAAGAGGGAACTTGTCAGAGCTAAGCAGCTAGGTGTAGTGGCACATGCCTGAAATCTCAGTGGCTTGGGAGGCTGACGCAGGAGAATCACAAGTTCAAAGCCAGCCTTGGCCACTTAACTAACTCTTGTCTCAAAATAAAACATAAAACAGGATGAGGATGTGGTGCAGGGGTAAATTGCCCCCTGACTCAATCCCTGGTACCAAAAAAAAAAATAAGCTCCTGAGCAAATTTTATTTTATACCCATGCTTTAATGTAATGGTTTCCTGGGATGAAATTAACCTCAGGGAACCATTTCCTGTCTACAAAAACGAGGGAGCAGGGCTTACTGGTTCATGGTCATTGTGCCCCACCCCCCAGCTGTTGCTTGACACTGGGTGCTCACATTTTTTATAACCAAGCACATTTGTGTAGTTAGTGGATCTCTGGGCTTCAGTCTCACTTTCAATGGAATTGACAAGGCCTTGTCCAAACACCAAATTGCAGTTTCTTGTAATATCGTGTGTTGCCTTAAAGGAAAGTAATGTTTGGGTTTTTCTCCAGCTGAGTTGCAAAGCCTGCAGTTCTAGCACATATCTTGGTTCTAAGTCTTTTGGTTTAACTGTTTACACCTTTAGGTTGGTTTATGGACTGTTCATTCACCTGGGAACCTATAAAAACTAAACTGTTTATACAGAAATCCTAGATGGAATGCAAACATCACTGAATTCTGTTACTTTTTATTTATTTTTAATTCTAAATTGTTATATATGACAGCAGAGTGCATTGAAATTCATATTACACATATAGAGAATAATTTTTCACACCTCTGGTTGTATACAAAATATATTCACAACACTTGTATCTTCATACATGTACTTAGGGTAATGATATCCATCTCATTCCACCATCTTTTTAACCTCCATACCCCCTCCGTTTCCCTCCCACCCCATTGCCCTATCTAGAATTTGTCTAACCCTCCCATGCTCCCCCTCCAAACCCCACTATGAATCAGCCTCATTATATCAGAGAAGATATTCAACATTTGTTTTTTGGGATTGGCTAACTTCACTTAGCATTATCTTCTCTAACTCCATCCATTTACCTGCAAATGCCATGATTTTATTCTCTTTTATTGCTGAGTAATATTCCATCTTGTATATATGCCATAGTTTCTTTATCCTTTCATCTATTGAAGGACATATAGGTTGGTTCCACAGTTTAACCATTGTGAATTGTGCCTGTATAAACATTGATGTGGCTGTGTCCCTGTAGTATGCTATTTTAAGTCCTTTCGGTATAGACCGAGGAAAGGGACAGCTGGGTCAAATGGTGGTTCCATTCCCAGCTTTCCAAGAAATGTCCATGCTGTTTTCCATGTTGGCTGCACCACTTTGCAGTCTCACCAGCAGTGTATGAGTATACCTTTTTCCCCACATCCTTGCCAACACTTATTGTTGTTTGTCTTCATAATACCTGCCATTCTGACTGGAGTGAGATGGAATCTGAGTAGTTTTGATTTGCATTTCTCTAATTGCTAGCATTGATAAACATTTTTACTTATATTTGATGATTGATTCTATATCATCTTCTCAGAAGTGTCTGTTCAGATACTGGGCCCATTTACGCATTGGGTTATTTGTGGGGTTTTTTGGTGTTTAACTTTTTGAGTTCTTTATATACACTAGAGATAAGTGCTCTATCTGATGTATGAGTGGGAAAAATTTGCTCTCAAGATGCAGGCTCTCTATTCACCTCACAGATTGTTTCTTTTGCTGAGAAGAAATTTTTAGTTGGAGTCCATCCCATTTATTGATTCTTGATTTTAATTCTTGCACCAAAGGAGTCTTATTAAGGAAATTGGGGCCTAATCCCACATGATGGAGATTACAGCCTACTTTTTCTTCTATTAGACGCAGGGTCTCTGGTTTTAATCCTAAATCCTTGATCCATTTTGATTTGGGTTTTGTACATGGTGAGAGACAGGGTTTTAATTTAATTTTGTTGCATATGGATTTCCAGTTTTCCCAGCACCATTTGTTGAAGAGGCTATCTTTTCTCCAATGCATGTTATTGGCACCTTTTTCTAATATAAGATAATTGTAGTTTTGTGGGTTATTCTTTGTGTCCGCTATTCTGTACCATTGGACCACCAGTCTGTTTTGGTGCCAATATCATGCTGTTTTTGTTACTATTGCTCTGTAGTATATAGTTTGAGTTCTGATATAGTGATGCCACCTGCTTCACTCTTCCTGCTAAGGATTGCTTTAGCTATTCTGGGTCTCTTATTTTTCCAGATGAATTACATGATCGCTTTTTCTATTTATAAGAGGAATGTCATTGGGATTTTAATCAGAATTGCATTAAATCTGTATAGTGCTTTTGGAAGTATGGTCATTTTGATAATATTAATTCTGCTAACCCAAGAGCACAGTAGATCTTTCCATCTTCTAAGGTCTTCTTTAACTTTCTTTATTTAGGGTTCTATAATTTTCATTATATAGATCTTTCATCTCTTTCATTAAGTTGATTCCCAAATATTTTTTGAGGCTATTGTAAATGAGGTAGTCCTCCTCATTTCCATTTCTGAGGATTTATCACTGATATACAGAAATGCATTTGATTTATGGGTGTTGATTTTATATCCTGCTACTTTGCTGAATTTATTTACTAGTTCTAGAAGTTTTATGGTGGAATTTTTAGGGTCTTCTAGGTATAGAATCATATCATTAGCAAATAGTGTCAATTTGAGTTCTTCTTCTCCTATGTGAATCCCTTTAATTTCTTTCATCTAATTGCCCTGGCCAGTATTTCAAGAACTATGTCAAATAGAAGTGGTGAAGAGGGCATCCCTGTTTTGTTCCAGTTTTTAGAGGGAATGCTTTCAATTTTTCTCCATTTAGAATGATGTTGGCTTGGGAATTAGCATAGATAGCCTTTTTGATGTTGAGATATGTTACTATTATCCCTAATTTTTCTAGTGTTTTGAACATAAAAAGAGGTGCTGCATTTTGTCAATTGCTTTTTCTGCATCTTTTGAGATGATCATATGATTCTTATCTTCAAGTCTATTGATGTGATGAATTACATTTATTGATTTCTGAATGTTGAATCAACCTTGCATCCCTGGGATGAATCCCACTTGATCATGATGCATGATCTTTTTGATATGTTTTTGTATTTGATTTGCCAGAGTTTTATTGAAACTTTTTGCATTTATATTCATTAGAAATATTGGTCTGAAGTTTTCTTTTTTTGTTGTGTCTTTGCCTAGTTTTGGAATCAGAGTGATATTGTCCTC